CACTTGCGCGGCCTGCGCCGGGTGCTGGGGCCGCGTGGTATGAAACTGGTAACTGAACTACAAGAAGAAGAATCGATCGCTACACAGTTCGTGGAAAAGTACATGCTGGCACTGCAATCTGCGATAAGAGACTCTCAACAGAAAGCCGATGATGGGCTCTCTCCGTTGGCGCAAGCTTCGTGCAGTGTGGTTGCGGAGGAACATTTAAGGCTTATTATAACGTGTGCGCTCTCATAAGATTGATAACAGGCTTTTTGCGTAAGTATGCTTACCGCTGGTTTGCGTATAAGTACGTACGCTGAAGTACTAGAAGGGTTACTGTGTGCATAGATAAGAAGAACTCAACTGAAGAAGCAAGCATCTTTCTACGGGTGTGGTCCCTTGTTGCTGGGAGAAACTACATAAGTGTCGCTAAGTTTAGAGGAAGTGAGTTTAAGTATATGGCTCAGAAGATGAATAGGAACTTAACAAGTGACTTATTCAGTCCAATAAGCGAAGCTCACCAGCTCTAAAAAGTAAACGCTGGCCTCTTCTTTTCGAGGAGAATGAAAAGATGCCCAAAAACAACAAAGAGCTGCACAAATTCCGTGCAGAACTTAGTCTTCAGTGGGCTTACATCAGTGCCCAGAAATCATTTAAGGCTACCACTCAAGCATCCTCGACAGCATCCTTTGCGCTTCTCGTACTTGAAAAGGAAGCCAAGGATGCACTCGGGGACGCGACCGCGGTGGCTCTAACAATTCTGGGGATGCGGAAGCCGTTCTCTTTTCTCACGACCCTGGAGATGGTCGGAAGAACGCGCTGCCGGTCGCGAAAAAGCTCGAAAGTCTCGATGGGAAAAAGGATTACGCGCAGCATCTTCTTTACGCGTTTTGCGCTACCTGGCGAGAACTCTGGCGCCCTAGTCGCTTTCTCTTAAAAGAGAAAGCCGGCACATCGTCGAAGGACACGGACTCAGCGTTAAGGTCAGCTTTTTTATCCATCTCTCTCGGCATCTCAATTATACCTTTTGTTCACGACCTTGCATTTCAATGATGAAAGGTCGTGAACAAAAGGTATTGAGATGCCGAGAGAGATGAGGGGGCCACCAAGAGATGGATTGTAAAAGCTGACTCTAACAACGTCGACTCCAACAGCTCCTGCGGGTGACCAACCACCTTCGGGAGAAGGTCCAACAGTTCCCACGGGCGACCAAGGACCTCCGGGAGAAGCGCCAGCAGATAGCTGGACGATAGGGCAAATGCTACAGCACACAGTGGTGGAACCAAAAAGGATATACGAAGAGGCACAGGCACTTCGTTGTATGATGCCACTCATTGAGCCCGGAAGTATGGGAATGATATCGTTCCACCTGAATACGAAGGGGCCAAGAAAGAGGGGGAACGACATTCCCTTATCGACACTCTCAATGAGTGGAAGCATTCACTGCTGTGCGAGGGCTGCAATCTGTGCCTGCTTCAACCGGAGCTGTTTCTGGAGAAGGGCAGGACCCAGCCAGCGTTGCCGCCGAAGATGAATCTCCACCCGGCGTCGCTAGTGCAGAAGATCTCCCTGCAGGGGAATCTTCGTCACAATCTCAGAACGGGGAGTCGCAATCATCTAACGCTGTGGTGGCGATAAAACCGCCACCAGCGTTGTGGAATCCAGGTCTTTGTAACGTTTGGAGGCTATTGCTCGTCGGTTGCCGCGAAGCTTTTCAGATGTTCATGTCGACTTCAGTTTTAAGGCTCCTTCAGCCAGAAATCATTCTACTTAGTCATCCTTTATAGCCAGAAATAGTAATCCAAGTTACCTAGAGTATCATCTACTTGTAATTATAACACCTGACTCCAGATGAGCATGGTTCTTGGAGGAGTTTATTTACCAGAGTGGAAGGAAACAACCGGGTTTCCAAAGGGGAAAGAAGTATTCTTGTTCCCGTTGGAAAGTTGCTCTTGCTGGGAGAAACGTCGTCGTGCCACACACTATCAGAGACGCTCAGTGCGCTCTGAGAGACGCACACATGATCCACATATTGTTCGAAAAAAGGGGGTACTAAGACCGTGTGCGTATCTGATAGAAGTGTGTGGTACACACTTGGGGAAGGGGATGTCGTAAAACTAGTCGTAGGACCGTGATGTGGAGGCTGGGAAAAGGGATGTCGTAAAACTATTCGTAGGGGATGGATTTTTTGTCGTAGGTCTATCTAACATCAGACAAAGGGCCTAAAAAGAAAACGGGTGAGCGAGTTCTAGACCCAAAAATTTGGGACAAAAACACGAAGGAAGAAGATCTCCAGATTATCCAGAACACTTGCTTATGGCAAATAGACTTTCGCGTACAACTACAAGGAGATGTAAGGTGTACTAAGTGATATTACAACACACTCTGCCTGCATGTGCTATTTCAAGGAGATGTAAGTTAGCTGCAAGAGCTTCCTCGTAAGTGTGCATCTACTTAGGTAGTAGTGTGTCGTAAGTATATAACATACAGCTACAAGGACATGCAGCAGACTTATCTACATCCTGTAGCAACTAGGAACAGAACTTTTAGTACTGTCTAGAAACCGCTGCATCTGCTGCTGCATCTATAATAGAAGTTATTCTATGTAACTAGTTGTAGTAATAGTAGCTGCATTGGGGGCTTGTTTATTGGGGTGATTGTAATAAATATGTAATATGTAGTTGTAGTAGTTGCATTCGGATTGCTGGCGTATCTTGGTTGAGTCGATCGTTGTAAGCATAAAAATTTCCACTCTCATGGAAAACGTCACTCATGGGAATTCTCTCGGGAAAATCGAGTTCGGAGCACGACCTGGCTTCGTTGTTTGACGCAGATTTTTTTATGGATGTTGATCTATCATTTGATTTTTTCGTTTTCTTTTTTGAGTAGGTAGGTCGTAGGAAGGTATGTTTTTCGATGAGTAGGTAGCTCCGTCGTTGTAGGTATAAATAGGGTGATTGAAAGATTAATATCCTCACGAGTGAACAACCAATTTTTTGACCTCTACCTGTAAAAATCGAGGATCAAAAATCTACCTATGTGTAATCCTTTAAAGATCTAGCATAGCACATTAGTAAGGTCTCCATTAAACTAGAAGAAAGCCGTATTCTAGTACAGCTCAGGATCTCTTTGAAAAGGAAAAAGATATACCTAAATCCCAAACCTCTAACTTGGTTGACAACAAGAACGATGAAACGCGCCAAGCAAAAGTGGAGTTTCTATTGTCCCTTAGTATTGGCAGACATCGGCTTGAGACGTGTGGCTCGACACAACAACACACAGCAGCGGACACAACAGCAGTCACAACAGCAGCACACACAGCAGCGGACACAGCAGCAGAGACAGCAGCGGACACAGCAGCACACACAGCAGCACACACAGCAGCGGACACAGCAGCAGAGACAGCAGCGGACACAGCAGCACACACAGCAGCAGACCACGCTCCAGCTACATCAGGAGGACAGGCAGAAGGTTCTCCAGCTCTACCTCCAGACGACTATGAGACGTTCAGAGAAACCGTGGGAGTTTTGGTGGATACGAAGGTGCTGATCCCGCTGAAGCAGGACAATGAGAATGGCTTACTGCCACCATTGCTAGGGAAGTTGCATGGGTGGATTAAGGCACTTACCGTCTCATCGCGAATGATTGTTTTTAGAGGCAAAGAAAACGTTGTCTATTTTTGATGAAGGTGATGAGGATGAGGATGACGATGAACATGAAAGTGATGACCGTTCAGCTTCAGGAAATATCTCATCTTGCAAATAGTTGAGAGACACCATCTGTTGAGATGAACCAATGTTGGCGCTCTCCGTCATCAGCTTCGCAGGCTTCTATCCTTTTCTATGTATCACACTATCAGCTTAGAAGAGCGTCCTCTATATATAATGGATTTGTTGACGAACAGCTTGTTCTCCACGTAAACCTCTAAGATTAATAAGAAGCTAGCGAAAACCGACATGGAAGCTGTTTTAGCGGAGATGGCCAATCCCATGATCGATGAAAGCTACTTTAATCAGCAATGCGACGTTTTTCAATATGTGTTTGCTGACGAAATACGCACAGACGCATTCGAGACACCAATTATGGCTTTGTTCGACGTCCAATGATTTTCATGTATCTACACAGCGCCGTTAGGCTTGGAATACCAAATAGGACACCGTGATGGTGCACCTTCCAGCTACATGCATTTGGAATGATCTCCAGATGGCTCCAGTTTCCTCTTGGAGGAGCTTTCCTTACAACCCTGTAAGGGATCCATCTTCCGAAGCATGATCTGGAAGCTTTCGTACGCGATGAGTACTTTAAAAAGGAGTCGTACTTTAGAAGGAGCACTTCATAGAAGGAGTCCACCAAGAGGGGTCCTGCAAGATGAGACTTTTTCCAAGATTGATGAGTCCTCGTCCACATGATTGGTTACGGGATGATGTGAAGAATCTGGAAGTTGTGGCTGGAACAGCTCTTTCTCTAAACAAAGAGACGGACACGATTGCCTATCCTGTTCATTCTTCGAGGTGGCGGAAAAGCTGGCTTTTGTGCGAACGAACAACGAAGAGACGGCGGACGACGAGCCAGGATTAGAAGCCACCATCCTCGCTCTCATCCTTAAGGCTGCTGCTGGAGCATCCTCAACACCATCCTTAGCCCTTTTCTCAAGGGGAAAAAGGGCCGAGGGAGGCTCTGAGGGATGCACGTCCGTACCTCTAACATCGAGCTCGCCAAAAAACGCCTCGAGGAACCTGTCTCGGGACCGACGGGAGATGCGGCGACGCTGCGTGAGATCCAAAGCGTGCACTCTTGGCTTTGTCGTGAGTTGACTACAGAGGAACAAAACTACCGCGATCCGGGAGCACATGTAGGAGCTAGTGCTACAACACAACAAGAGACTAGTACCTCTAGTAGCACAAGTGCGCTAGAGCTTACACAGCATACTAGTAATGTCATGGCTTCAACAACAGGAGCATCAAACGGGTTACTAGAACTTCAATCTTCGACCACAAGCACGACCTCGACCTCGACCTCGACCCAAAGAGCACCACCTGCTACAACTAACGAGGGGTCTCTTAATAAGAGGTCTGAACAAGCAGATATTTGTAGGGGACCAGAGAAATGGATTCCTGAGCCAAACAAGATCGAACATGCAGCTACAACAGGACAATCCCCATCGGAAAAACACGCGCCGCCTTTGCTGCAAACTCTGAACAGTGGCGTTATGATGCGCGAGTCCAAACTTCATATTTTTCTATATTAGAACGGCAAACAATATTCTTCAGGTTTTCACCTCTATCCCTAGGCTTATGCCTTCAAACAACAATACTCTTCTGATTTTTTCCAGAAGCCCATTGCAAATGTAACAATTCTTGACCATAGGATGACTACTTGTACTTGAGGCGCGATGGTGGTGATGATGATGATCTTCGTCTTCTTCCTCCAGTAGAAGTGTGGTCTAAGGAAGTTTACGAGTACCTTGCGGCGCTTTTGGCGTGGTTTGCGCGCGAAGAGTATGCCAAATCTGTTGAGAAGGATCAAACGACTAACGCACGAATTGACGCAATGAGTGCGCATGCTGATATCATTCGGATTTTATGGCTATAATGAATTCTACTACTGAGGTCTACTGATCCTGGTACGCGTCCCATTCTGAATACCACTGAGAAGCAACCGTGTCCCCACTAGTATTCTGTGTAATATTTTATGTCGTGGTGGTGCTCTTCTTCCCTACGCGGATGCATGCGGCAGGGAGGACTGAACAGAAGACGACTATGTATCAATTTGCGCTTTGCTTGGATGGCTCTGAGCATTCTATTGTCAGAGATCGAGCCCCAGTGTTATTGACCATACTAAGCCGGCCTACGCTGGAGCCTATCTTAGACCCTCCCAGTATGTCGCGCGTGATGTCAGCGAAGTAAGACTTTGCAGGCCTCCACGAGGAAAGGGGGTGGATATTATGCAGCGCGTGCGTCGTCTGTCTTGTGTTGTGCTTGTTCTGTCTTGGTCGTTCTTCGTTCTTGTGCTTATCTAGGTAGTTAGCGAAGTAGGGCGCTGACGCTGCGGAACTGGGTCAGAAGGCCGCGGATTTCACTGGGGAAATGGATCAAGGTCCGCAATGGATCACGCCCAGGCTCTAACATATCTGGCAGAAAAAGCATCGGCCGAGGAAGAGATCGACATACGAACACGGGAAAAGATTTGGCGGGAGGCTACGTTATCTCCTGGAGTTCCTTCTTGGGGTCCTACAAAGAAGCTGATAATTATGCTTTGTGTTACTAACTTGTAGTTTGTAGTACAATGTACGCAAGGAGTTAGTAATAACTGGTTATTGTCTAGTCTCCAGAATAGTATGCGTACTATGACTTCTCGAGACTCATGCCTATGCCCCGTAAGGCCTTTGGCCTGGTTATCGAACCAAGATCAAAGGTTATTGTAGCTGAATCGAGGACGAGATTGCGACGACGGACTCTTTCAATACTATTCGAAAACTGGAAATAATAACCGAGCTAATGACTGAAGTAGAAGAGTTCTGACTACATTCCTTTCCATTTTTCAGTACCTCGCTTGTTTTTTAAATAGTTACTCGGTTATTTCAGTTTATCGAATACCCTAGTATAGTTATCATGTTCTTGAAACTACAAAGGAAGTTTGTCACAGAAGTTTTAGAAGAATAAGGCAAAGAGGAAAAGCTTGTCACATTTATGTCTGTACTTTAGTTACTTACGTAGATATATTTACTTAGATGTTGAATCTTCAGCTTAGATGTTTACTTAGATGTAACTCTCCGCCCCTGGTGGGAAGGGAGGCCAAAAAGTCCCTGGTGGAACAGAAAAATAAGCGAAAAAGTCCGCCCCTGGAGGGAAGGGAGGCACGTGTCTCTGAGAGGACTGGTGGGACGAGATGCCGCCACCTCTGAGAGGGGGCGCGGACACTACACACCTAGCCCTAGACGGGGCGCAATCAATGGTGGCTGTTCTTCAGGGGACGCAAGAGAATGAAAGAGAGACGGCCAGCCCGGGGCGCCCTCCTCCATTGCGTGCCAGGGCTTTGGTTCTCTTGGTGAGATGAACCGCCAGCGGCGCAGCAGGAGCGGGGGGCGCGCTGGCTTCCGTGCCTCGTTTCTTCTGGGTTTCCAAGGCGAGGAGAGCCCCACAGCCTCGGCAGGCCGGTGCCGTCTCGTTTTCTTCCAACGAGAGGCAAAAGGGCAAGGCCATGGCTGTGAAGGCGTGAGGAGATTCGGCGGGCTTTTTGGCTGCTCTTTTGGGTGGTTGTTTACTCGGCCCGTGTCGTGTGGTGTGTGCGGTCTGGGGGCTCGCCTCGCCCTCGTCGGGATCTGACTGCCCCCCCTCTGCTTTCTTCCCTTGTCAGTTCGTTGCGCCCTCCTCGCCTGCGGTCGTTATGCTGGAGGGTGGACCCAAGCCACGGGCCCGCGCACCGGTCGCCAGTGGATGCTTAGCCCTTGGCGGGCAGGCAACAGTTTGAAACTGCCACAAAGCCTGCGTCTGGGCCTTGATCGCTCCGCTCTGGTAGCTGAGTTGAGGAGGCCAAGGCGGACCTCGTCACTTGAAGCGAAGTTTCTCTGATGAGCACCTGCCTCCGGCTCCGCAGCTGGAGCTTTTTCCCCGCCAGTCTGGAACCGCGCGCGCGTGACGGCAAGGCCCCCGGCCCGGCCTCGAGTTCCCCTGGAGACTGGACACGGGTGGCGCCCAACCCTGCACAGCAGAACCGTACAAGGCCCAACGGGTTGACGGGTGCCCTTACATACGTACATCCTGAGACGTAACTAGGGAGACTGCAAAGTCGGTGGGCTTAGAAGTAGAATGCAGCGGGGCCTTCAATTTGGTCACGTCGCAAGTACTTGTTTAGATAATGAGCCGCTTCTAATGATAGCCAAGAGTGGAAAAGGATTAAGCGTGGTGACCTTGTACAAGGGACGGGAAGGCTCGACTTGCTTGCAGTGAGCGAGGACTTCTGCGTAGATATTGAAAAGTCTCTATCATCTGCGAAGAGCCCGGACGAACGCGAAAGGCCGGGACCTACGGAGCGGGGGCCCACGACGGGAGGGGCTTCTCCGCCATTGCCTCCAACTAGTGCCGCGGACTCAGCAGGCGGGCTGGCAGAGCAAGCATCATCACCACCAGAACTGGCAGGGGGCTCCACCGAGGGGGGAGGGTCGACCGCCGTCGGGCAAGCATCCAGCGTAGCAGGAGGCCCTCGCTCCTCCACAGAAGTGGAAGCAATTGCACGCGCTGGTGAGCAACCAGGAGGGCCGGGCGTGTCACGAGCATCGTCCGCCGGGAGCACATCACCGGAGATTATTACAGTGGAGCTAAACACGAGTCCTGCGGCTTGGCAGCTTCGGATGTCGGCAATGGTGCTGCTCCAGCGGGTTTGTGTGATGCACAGTGGCCCGAGCATAGGGCTTTGGTTGGATTTGTACCTATCATTCGTTCCACTTGACCTAACAGATCTATCATTCCATAAAGAAGCATATCGTATCATATCATATCATATCATATCATATCATATCATATCATATCATATCATATCATATCATATCATATCATATCATATCATAACACTCCATAACCTATCTGTGCCGGATCTATGTATAACATAACCTAACCATTCCACGTAAATATGTAAGTGAGAGAATGTAGCGCTTTTGGTCTTCTTCGGTTTCAATGACTATCATTCCACTTAATTGCCGCATATTATTCCACTTAGCCTATAGCTGTCAAGGGCCCGCTGCGTCGGGCATAGGTTAGCAACTAGACAGATAAGACCTTCAAACGAACAAAGTCGCCAAGTCCGCTCTCCAGGCGCGCTGGGTGTCGCTGTGGTTAGGCTAGTAAGCTGGCTACCGCTATGGCATGGCTTGGCTAGCGCGCTGACTGTGGCTAGGCTAGCGCCGTGGCTCTGGCTAAGCTAGCAAACTGGTGACGGAAAAGCTAGCACGCTGGTGATGCTGTTGCTGATGGCTAAGCCAGAGTGCTGGCGATGGCTGAGCTGGCAAGCTGGTGCTGGCCATGATTGAGTTAGCAGGGTGGCCATGGCTAAGATAGCAGCTTGGTTGTGGAGGTGGTTACTTGAGCAAGCAAGTCGGCGCAGGTGAAGCTAGCGAGGCAAGCTGGCTATCGCTATGGCTTGTGTGGCAAAGCTAGCGAGGCAAGCTGGCCATGGCTGAGCTAGCAACGCAAGGCAAGGCAGTTACGGCCGTTGAATGTAATCTAGCGAGGCAAGCTGGCCATGGCTGAGCTAGCCAGGCAGGCTCGTTGACTTTTACGGCTGAGGTAATCTAGCAAGGCGGGAGGGCTCTGGCTAAGCTTTGCTTCAAGCTGGCTGCGGCTGAGCTAGCGAGGCAAGCTGGCTGCGCTATGGCTTAGCTAGCAGGCTGGCTATGCCTGACCCCGATGCGCCAGGTTCTTGAAGTGAAGGACTTCAAGGAATCCGCTTAGGGGGTTGGGTGGCCTTTCAGGGGGGGCGTACCATTAGCCCAAGACTTTTACGGGGCTCCCTTTTTAGGGAGCCTCCTTAAGGCACATTTTTGGCCCTTGAGAGAGACTTATAGTAGCCTTTTATAATTCTAATAGAAATCCCTTAACGGATGCGATTTCCTTATTTATTTTCGGAGAATTGCTTACACTATAAATACTAATATATGCAATGGAGTCACATTCTATAGAACTTCTTTCGAGTCAGTAAGTAATTCTGAGACATGACGTTGTGACTTTGACGCCCATTCTTTTAAATCATGATAGATCGGTCTTGCACCACCAGTGTTGCAAATGCCCCTTCTTTCGCTTTCATATGAAACGCGTCACGGAGAAAAACGCTCAGAAAGGCTTTTTGTTAAAGTCAAAGAGATGCTGTCTGCCGTGGATGACGGCTTGTTGCGGACTGATGGCAACGGCAATTACGAATTGGCACTATCTTCTATACTTAGGTCTTCGTTTTTAGGGCTTATTCTGCAGGGGTGGCTTATGCCTTGCGTTTTAGGGCTATGATAGCTGACGCTTGAAAAGTAAAAGTTTAGTGAGCATATCTATGTATTTTATAGCCGGCGCTACGTTGTTATCACTGGCCTGGAAGAAGCAAGGGTAAGGGTATATGATAGACAAGAAGCAAAGGGAAATGGGGAAAAAGTCCTGTTCTTTATTTTCGTTTGGAACGTCCACAGCGCAACACCTGCAACGCTCACTAATGTGTACGAGCAACTCTCCCTTCAATCGCCTGGAACTAGATTTATTTCGTGACTTTTGACGTCGACCTGGTACAGCTTTGTCGATGGTTCATCTTACTGAAACTCAAACTTCTTTTTAGCTCTGGGATACGCTAGTAGTAGTGGTCGTAGTAGTTGCTTAACAATCCAAGATCTTGACACTTTGGTTCTGATGTCAGGTCTGATAGTTATGACAATGAACTTTTGAATAACCGAAGGAAGGATCTAGATTTAGTCTTCCTGAAGGAAGCTGAAGTCCAACAGCACGCTGAAGCCCAGCATAAATTCTCTAAGTAGATGGGCATGCGGAGACGAATTTTTGCGTCCCAGGCGATATTCGGGAGTGGAATCGCGATCGTTGGATAAAAGCTTGCGCCAGCTTCATCGAGTCGAAAGATGCAACCGCGCACTCACTTGGCCCGTATGGCTTCTCGTTTTGTCGTCAGGAGCGCGCACTGTGCCTAGTGCTTCTAGAGCACCTCCAAGTAAGTTTTGACAACCTTTTATAGATAGTAGCGTGGAAAACGAAAAGACGCAGCATTTTTGAACTCTGCCAATTCTGGCAATGTCAGCACGACTGGTCTCACACCTATGATGTGTTATAAAGCCTGGTCAGTGGGGTCTGCGTATCTGCGATTGAAGCTATTGAAGGGGTTGAATATGTATAAATCAAAACCTATATCATGCGGCATCTGCTTTCTATTCCTTGCCATACAGGCCCGGGGAAGGGCATCTTTTACGCGTGTAAGTGAGGGGGGTGCTTAAGGGGAGAAACTAGGCATCTGCCAGACGCCGGGGCACAAGTTGGCCAAGCTCAAAAAACGCGCCCGCGCCGGGGACCCTGCACCAAAATTTTTCTGGCAGTACTGCGATAGATTCTCCTTAGGTTCGAGGCAGTACTGCTAAAAAAGTCGCGCAAGAGCCCAGTGGATTTAGTGGCTTTTGGCTGGTAGTGGGGGGGTGGGCGTGGGGTTAGTTTAGCTGGTTTAAGCTGGCAATGAGGAGATGCATTGTCAGCGTCCTTCAGGTTAGTTGCTAGTAGAGGAGGACTCTGCGCGCCTATTTTTTCGGTAGTACTGCCACAGGTTCTCCGCATGTTGGTGGAAGTACTGCCAAAAAAGACGCGCAAGAGTCGAGTGGATTTAGTGGCTTCTGGCTAGCGGTCGGAAGTGGGGCTTAGGTGGTTTGAGCGGGGATGGGGGAGATGCATTTTGTGGGCCCAGGCGGGCGCTTGGGGGAGAGACGTAGTTCGCTCGGGCTGGAAGTGGTGGGGATTGGATTTGGTGGGTTCGGGCTGGTAGTGGTAAGATGGGTCTCATGGGTTTTGGCTGGTGTTAGGGATTTGGATTGACTGGGTTTGAGCTGTTAGTGCGGTCTTAGGTTTAGTGGCTTCTCCCTGGGCCTGGCTGTTAGTGGGGAGATGGATTTAGTCGAGTCGGGCTGGTAGTGGAGAGGGGGCCTTGATGGGTTGGGGCTGGTAGTGGAGAGGGGGCCTTAATGGGTTTTGGCTGGTAGTGGAGAGGGGGCCTTAATGGGTTTTGGCTGGTAGTGGGGAGATGGATTTAGTCGGTTTTGGCTGGTAGTTTGGGGACCATAAAAATGGCCTGCATTCGCTTTTGACTTTTCTTTATGCAATATTTTTCTCGAGTCAAGTTGCAGCACTTTTTGATTTTTCCACGAGAGAAATGGAATTTTCTTGGAAAATCTACTTAGAAAGATGATACTTGACAGATGAGGAGGTAGAATTCCTAGGAGTGAATGTTCTAGTGGATCATGTTCTTCTAAGATGCACGCAGACTCATGAAGGTGAAGAGCGGGTGGATGCAGAAGGCAGCATCACTCGATAAAACTGATTATGTCGATTATTATTTTGCTGCGAACGAATGGGCTGACGACTTTAGAAAGCAAGAGTGGATACTGGACAAGATGGTGACTAAGGTCTTTCCAGCACCCTCGCAACAGAATATGGCATGAATACTGCTGATTTTCGTGGTGATTCAATGCGAGTACTAAAGTAATCGATTTCCATGTACGTGCTAGTGAAACTTTGTCAATCTGAGTGGGCCATTATGTTTGTCATCAGTGATAATGATCTCTGTCGTGATACCGAAAAGTCTCTTATTTTTTCTGCAAGCATGGTCTTTTACTTAGCAGAATATCCTTGTATGCAGCGAAAGAGCTCTAATACAGAAAAACACGAGTCTAGCACTATCCCTGAGGACGCGGTCGCGAACCTGAAAGAGGACACGTTGGCAGAGGCGTTAATTACGACCATTTTTCATCATCTGGTGACTATATGTCGCATTTTCTGAAGTTTTACTCCATCGTACTAGAAATGCGATCTACAACGACGTCTTGACTCTCACCAATCATATGAGATATATAACTTCGCAAGTAGAAGTAGCTGTACCGATACAAATAGAAGCAATGACTTCGCTTCTTCTAGAAGTACAACAAAAATAGACAAGTTATTTACGGATTTTCATATTATATAGATTGATAAGAGGACTCCTAACTTCGACCAATCGTGTCCTAGACATAGATAAGGACTACCTTAGGTTAGCCCCTTCAAGGAATCTAGATAAGAACTACTTGATGCGTTACGGGATCAAGCAGTTCGGAGGATCGCTGTTATAAACGCACACGACGATTGAAGGACTGCAAGCTGTGTGTACACCTTAGCAGCTGAGCATACGCAGGCAGCCACCCTTTTCCTTTTGGTCGAAGTTCATGTTCGTGGGCATAATAAATCAATGACAATAATAAATTATTTAATATGTTTCTACTACTTGAAAACGAGGACGACCTAACGACCAGAATTTTTTCTAACTTGCAAGCGTGGCACGATCGAAACGAACACTTGGAAAGGAAGGAAGTGACCGGCGAGAGAACCTTCTCTTCAGAAACAACACGTATGGACTTGAAACATTGGATGCCGCACCATTTTGTTCGCTTTTTGCTGCAAATCTTCAAAGCTTTTGATGAACAGGGAACTACTAGAAAGAAACGTAGAACCACGGCAGGAGGAGCTTCGGCAGACAAGTCAAAGACAGTTAGGCAGAGAGCTACGTCAGGAGCTGCGGCAGCAGCAGCCGCGTCAGGAACTGCGGGAGGAGCTGGGTCGGGGGAACCTACACGAGAAGCAGCGGAGGCGTCTCAAGGATCGGGTAGAGGAGCCGCCACAGCAGAAGATGAAAATAGCAGGGGGGTGACACCTGGGCCTGCAAGTAGGGGGACGGACGGCGACGTAGCTCCGAAAGCAGGACCTGCGCAAGAAGCTGCGGAAGATGATGCGGGCAAAGAAGGAGCTGTCGCACAGGCGACGGCTGCAGACACGGTCGGAGCAGAACCCGCCGCTTCCGACGCCGCTCCTCCTGGAGCGCCGCCTCCCGGAGCAGGTGAACAGGTACACTAGAGACTGATTAGAATACTGACTGTTACAGCTTGCTAATATAGCCATCATCTTTGATGTTTAGGCATGTACTAAAGGTAATTGACTTCCATAGCCATCTGCTTTGTTTGGACCTACACAATCTTATCTATCTCAACCTTCAGAATGAGCAGGAAGCAAAACGGGAGATCCTAGAGCATGACCTTTGCCGAGACGCCTCTATATTCGTGAAGTCGGTGGTGCCGATTTGGGGTCCAGAACAAGAGAAGTTAGCTATTTGGCTTCCCGATGACCAGCAGAAAATTCAATCTGACGAGACGGAGGACAATTAAGGCAGTAGTACTGTTTTTTTTTGCATGGGGCGAATGGCCCTACTCACTTAATGATCTGAGCCCAAAGAAGACACAGAGCAGACAGAATTCATTTGAATAGAGATTGTAGCTGTACTTAGTTCTGTCATCCTTTGGTTGAGTCAACTTGGCTGCAACATCTCGGTAAATTTACAATAATCAAGAACGGTCTCTTTTCTATCTTTCTCTGGTCTTTCTTTTTTCTAGGTAGGTCTGCTCCACCACAATAATCAAGAAGGAGATGTTCCACGAAAGTGCTCCACTTGAACGAACTAGAAAAAAAAAAACAAAAAAAAAAGAGAATGATGCAAGAACCAAGAAATAAATTATATTGGACACCTCTTCTAAGAGACGAAAAAAAAGAAGCAGCTTAGAAGGACCTTCCAGAGGAACGACGAGGACCATCGGGCTGATTACGTGAAAGCGGCCTGGGGGAAGCCTGGGGAATGGCATAAAGACTGGCAAGCGAAGCTGAGCGATCAAGAACTATACGACTCCTTGAGCGATGCCATGGAACTACTCGAAATCCTACTCAAATTCGACCCTGTTGATGCACACGCATCTTCTACAACGAGTACGAGTACTGCTGGTGCTGCAAATGCACAGTCGGCTGATAGAATGACTAATGGTGCTAGTGCGAATGGTGCTACTGCTGCGTCTTCTACCTTGGATATTTCTGAAGGTCCTACTGCTGACGGAGGAAGTTCTACTCCTGACGGAAGTAGTTCTACTGCTGGTGGAGGAAGTTCTACTGCTGGCGGAGGAAGTTCTACTGCTGGCGGAGGAAGTTCTACTAGTCCTAGCGCAGGACCTTCTAGTCCTAACGCAGGACCTTCTAGTCCTAACGCAGGAACTTCTACTGCTGACGGAAGAAGTTCTAGTGCTAGAGAGAGTGGACGAGGAGACGAAAATGGTGGACGCCAGGTCGAGTCGTGTCCAGTTCGGTTGCGCAAAGAGATACAGCAGAGACAGTATCTGCTAATAACGTACATTCTTCGGGTGATGAAAGATTTGTCTCAGGAGACATGGCAAATTGCAACTCTTAGAGGCGGGCGGCCAAAAGATAAGAAAACCACCGATGCCTATCGGGAACATTTGGGTGTGGCTGCCGAGTCACTTGTTAGTGTCGCGCAGCTGTACAACACATTGATATTGAAGATTTATGGCTAATTTTTTTGTTGGATATGACTATCCGATGTGTATAACAATCCCATATTGCGAGGCATGCTGAGTAACTATCGCAGCGGGGCATGCTGAGTAACTATCGCAGCGGGGCATGCTGTCTGAGTAGGGTCCCCCTTTGTGCAAAGAAAGGAGACGATATGGGGAGACAAGACTTCTCACTCAACCGGGGATAGTGAACAACTAGTGCTAAAAAAGAGGAAAGCAAACTCGCGCTGAGGAATTCCGCGAACATTTCTGCGGTTTGGTTCCAGTGCCGGGCAAGAACGGTAATATCATAGACGAGCAAACAACTACAACTCCTTCCACCACTGACGATGCGTCGGCTTCTCCAGGAGCAACATCAGCAGAAGATGTAGCAGGAGGTGCCTCTGGCGGCGAGCCCTCCTACGTGACTTCACTCGTTGAAACTCGTACTCCTTCTAGCGCAGGAGCAGCAGCAACCCCCCCTGCCGACAACGCTTCTGGCATGTCTCCAGGGCCCAAAGCACTGCCATCTGTTGCATCCGAGTGTCCTCTTCTTGGCAGTGAAGGGCCCTTCCTCTCGGTGTGGACAGTAGCAGAGAAAGCTGTCACAGACGGTTTGAAGAAACGCGCAGATCGAAGCAAAGATAAAACAAATTCTGTAGAGGAGCAGCTACTGTTAAAGACAAGCAGCGAGGGCGTGTCCACAACGTCTCTGTGGGAGACAGAAACTCTCCAGAAAGTAATAGATGGAATTTATGATCGTAAACTGGACCTGGAGAGGCATGCCATCATGATGCAACACTATAATGACCCTCTGACTGCACTCAAAAGCTTCATGGAAAGCGGAAAAACGTCAGTAAACGATAACGATGAAGTTGCCAAGCAATATCGGAACAACATTGCACCACAGGCCCAGACTAGCATAGAGTTTCGGCGTTTACTTTTTCTTTTGCGCATAGCGTCGTGGAAAGCCGCTAGATACACGCGGGCAGATCTCCTCTTAAGACTCACGACATATCATAGAAAAAATGATCAAACAGACAAGCAGGAGATTTTCATCATGCCTAACTATGGTACAACTTACTACATAGATTTAGATACAAATTTGTATTCTCAAGAAAAATTCTCTCCAAGATCTGAGGAAGTTGGAGTACTGACGAAGATGCGCCACTTGAAGTACGAAGAGGTAAGTAAATGACCAGTAGTAAAGTGCTCGTTCCAGCAGAAGTCTGTGACCTCCCAAGCCCTTTCCAAAAGACCTAGCTGAAGTCTAAGAGCTAAGAGATAAACTCCTACTACTCGTCAGAGGTGAATGGGCCCAAGACATGAATCACTTTCAGCGCTAATGAGGAATGATCGGCATGCCAAGTTCATCGCAAGTGCAATCTCCAGTTCCAGACTAAAAGGTCATCAATCTGCTGTTGTCAACAGCGAAGACCTCGCGAGCTCGGCCTCGGTAGAGGATGTGGACGAACGCAGACGTGCAGTCATTTCCGCGTATATAGAATTCGTGGTCGATGAAGATTTTGGGCCTGATGGTCCCCTCAGCCCTCCAGTGGAGACCGGTCGACGGTCAGAAAGTATTAGACGTCATCATTGACATCAACAGCATAGATGAACGCTGAGCTTGGCCTACAAAAAAAGAGTTTCAGACTTCCGAATTGAAACTATGACATCATAATTTAATTACTCTAAGTCTAAGCTCCTGTCAAATCCAATGAATTGTTCCACCTGTTCCTCTGGTTGTGTTAGTTCTGCCATCGATGATTTCATTCAGTAAGAACTCGCTTATTCTATTCGTTGTCTCTACTTCTACTCTGAGTCGTTATCCGATGACATCGTAGCTAGTTAGATGAGAGCCTCACCTCTTACTAGATATCCCGCTTGTACTCAAGTAGAAACTAGCAGTATTTTCTAGTTAGGTCGGCTCCACCACCATTAATGTGTTGAGCTTGAAAGCATAACGATCTCTATTCCTACGGAAAACTACACCAGGTGGTCGGGCTTTATTTGTGGTTGCAACATTGGCATCGTATAGTACTCGAGAAGACGCTGTGCAACTGTTCCCGCGCAAGATGGTACTCGACAAAATGAGGAAGTTATGATAAGCAGAAGTGCTTACTGCGAATGTTTAGTCGATTAACCTTGATGATCTAGTCGTGATTGTATACAATAAAAGGTTTGAAGAATGGATCAGTGAAAATATTGACGGACTTTTTTAGATATAATGAAACAGTCTACTGTCTGCACAGCAATCTTGTGCGAGATTTATTGTATAATTGCATTGTTGTGTATTGCATTATCATGATTCGGTGAAGGGGAAGTGATTCAGTCGATTGAGTGACGTTCTTTAGCATTTTCCTGAGCATACTTATGCACAAGTGTGGTTTCTTCATATGTGGCGATCGACAAACTAGCATCTGCGACGAAAACTTAAGGCTATTTTTGCGTCATTATATTCCTGATAGGTCAAAGAGAAAGATACTTAGTTTTCAACATCTGTTTTTCCAAGAGAGAAGCAAAAACTTGAACTTCCAAGGGCTGAAGGTTAGGGCTTTCTCCAACCGGTCTTCAGCTGCGTCCTTCCTAGTAGACTTGTAGTTTCTCATCAAAGGCGGGTATACCTACTTATACTCATTGAGGCACGATAGATAGTGACACGGTTACACCTGCTAGTCGGGCGGCCATCGCTCGCCCCGTCCCTAGTTGATAGGCGGGGAAAAGACACTAGCAAAACTAAGCATAAACTTTTTAACTCGTGGCACGCACCACGGTGGCTCTCATAAAAAAGACTCAGAAGATTAAATGTGGATGTTACTGATGAGAAACAGTTTCAGTTTCCTAGATGGATTTGGCTTTGGATTTGGTTGACCAGCCCTAAACGGTGCTGCCCTGGGAGGCAGGCTTCGTTGAAGCCTTGCGTCGTATGCTTGATGGTTGCCGGAATTCACCGCATGCGAGACCTGAGGAGGACGTTAAGGCTAGTTTTTTGGTGTTGAACAGTTGGTGTTATTTATTTTTGCTGTTGCTAAGGGAGACAGGCTAAACGGGCAGAGAAGATTGTCTTTGAATAATGGTTCTTGTTCTTCCTAGATGAAGATTAAGATGAATCATGACAGGGACGCATCACAGTCACACATGGGCAGCAGGTGCACACACATGACATCAACGGAGAGAAGCAACTTTTGAAGGATACTTGAATAGTAAACACCCAAGAAACTATCTCGAATATGATTGGCGGAGACTCCCACGCCTACGCAAACGAGCTCGTGAAGCCAGTTTTTTAAGACGCAACAATGAACCGTTATAGAATAATCGAACGGATTTTTCTTTCTATAATGGGGTGAAGCATTATAGGAGTAGCACTCGATGGATTACAACTCACTGTCAGGTCTATTTTCTTCGGCTATCAGGAGAGATAGCAACAGGGACGCAGGCAGGCAGCATGCACTAACTGACGGCATGGAGTGAATTATTATAGATAGATATAATAAAAATCGTCTTTCTGGAACTGGATGGTGGCTTGACTGAAGATGTCGATAATCGAAACCTCTAAGTTGCTGAGGAAATTCGAAAGCGGCAATTGTTCTGTTTTGAACGAGATAAAGTAGGCGACGGCTCAAGAAGCCCCCAAGAGAGTCGCGGGTGCCCATCCACAGGGGTGCCCCAGTCTTTACGATTTGTTCTCAAGTAGAATAGGGTTAGCAGCAGGAGTTGTCTCTATTAATTACTTTTCCAACAAATTATAAGTATAAGAAAACCTCCCTGCTCAGAACAACAGACAACTCATGTTTCGGTTTTTACAAGTTTCTGTTTAGGAGTATCAAGTGTCAGGAAGTGACTTAATGTATGACGGTTAGTGTTTATGTTAAGTAGATACCAACTTCACCCGCGCTTCTGGATATACCTCCGGTGAGAACGAAGCAACGGCATGCTATCCTATCGTGGATCAATACTAGACTAGTCGCCTTCCGTTCCCACTCCCACAACATGTGTGTCATGCAATACCAAGAACTTAATCAGTCTCAGTGTATCCTCTCCTGTCCTATCCTAAGCTGGTTCCTCTAAAGAAGGGTCATTTGATGGAGGAGGGTGCTGCAGCTACTGTAACTGGTGGCTTGCCCGAAGAGCCTAAAACGAGTTAAGACTTCTGGACATCCATCTTGAAGAAATGAAGCATCTTGGAGTCATCATGTGCCTGAAAACAATAACAGTAGACACAGGCCCAGGATGACACTCAGTATGGAATTGTCCAGGAACAAGAGCTAAGACAGAAATTCTTTCGTATCAGCATCTCGGTTGTTATGGTCAGGTTTTATCCATCTCACACTCTCATTACCTTTTTGGTACGCTTTTGTTCCCTTAGAAGAATACATTACATACAAGAAGAAAGGTACCAAGATGAGGGGGTTGATATGAATAAAAGCACAGTCTAAGTCCGGCGGAAATTCGCGTGGCCATGCGACACATCTTGGAGCAATTAGGTCAGATGCTGGATGCTTCTGAGTCGGCGGCTTCTGCTGCGTCAGCGGCTTCTGCTGCGTCAGCGGCTTCTGCTGCGTCAGCGGCTTCTGCTGCGTCAGCGGCTTCTGCTGCGTCAGCGGCTTCTGCTGCGTCAGCGGCTTCTGCTGCGTCAGCGGCTTCTGCTGCGTCAGCGGCTTCTGCTGCGTCAGCGGCTTCTGCTGCGTCAGCGGCTTCTGCTGCGTCAGCGGCTTCTGCTGCGTCAGCGGCTTCTGCTGCGTCAGCGGCTTCTGCTGCGTCAGCGGCTTCTGCTGCGTCAGCGGCTTCTGCTGCGTCAGCGGCTTCTGCTGCGTCAGCGGCTTCTGCTGCGTCAGCGGCTTCTGCTGCGTCAGCGGCTTCTGCTGCGTCAGCGGCTTCTGCTGCGTCAGCGGCTTCTGCTGCGTCAGCGGCTTCTGCTGCGTCAGCGGCTTCTGCTGCGTCAGCGGCTTCTGCTGCGTCAGCGGCTTCTGCTGCGTCAGCGGCTTCTGCTGCGTCAGCGGCTTCTGCTGCGTCAGCGGCTTCTGCTGCGTCAGCGGCTTCTGCTGCGTCAGCGGCTTCTGCTGCGTCAGCGGCTTCTGCTGCGTCAGCGGCTTCTGCTGCGTCAGCGGCTTCTGCTGCGTCAGCGGCTTCTGCTGCGTCAGCGGCTTCTGCTGCGTCAGCGGCTTCTGCTGCGTCAGCGGCTTCTGCTGCGTCAGCGGCTTCTGCTGCGTCAGCGGCTTCTGCTGCGTCAGCGGCTTCTGCTGCGTCAGCGGCTTCTGCTGCGTCAGCGGCTTCTGCTGCGTCAGCGGCTTCTGCTGCGTCAGCGGCTTCTGCTGCGTCAGCGGCTTCTGCTGCGTCAGCGGCTTCTGCTGCGTCAGCGGCTTCTGCTGCGTCAGCGGCTTCTGCTGCGTCAGCGGCTTCTGCTGCGTCAGCGGCTTCTGCTGCGTCAGCGGCTTCTGCTGCGTCAGCGGCTTCTGCTGCGTCAGCGGCTTCTGCTGCGTCAGCGGCTTCTGCTGCGTCAGCGGCTTCTGCTGCGTCAGCGGCTTCT